TGTTGGGGTGGACGGGAGCCTGGGTGTGACTGTGGGCGGCAACCTGGGCGTGACTGTGGGCGTGGGCGGGAGCCTAGGTATGACTGTAGGCGTGGGCGGGAACCTGGGTGTGACTGTAGGCGTGGGCAGGAACCTGGGCGTGACTGTGGGCTGGGAGTAAATGTGGGATTTTTGCGACGGTGGAGGTTGGCGGGTGACGGAGGTAGCGGGAACAAACTGGCACCTTATCTCCTGGATTCGTCGTTCGATGGTGTCGCCTTGTTCCCACGGCCTGAAGAACATCAACACTTATTTACAACGATGAATTACCATTCAAAGTCGTTATATTCTACTTTATTTTTTATCATTTATCTGTAAATTAAACATTATTCTAAATAACCTATGGTATATAATGGGTACTGTTAACAGCAAGTAAAAAGTTCTTAGTCACTCAATTTTTCCCTCCCTAGAGGCTGGTTCCCTTCCCTCACTCCAGCTCCTTGTACTGTACTGTACCTCACTACTGTACACTCTCCTGCAATCTATTACCCATCACTTTCTCCACTAGACTCTGCTGTGATAACTCACCTGGGAGTCACCCATGTGGGCGGCAGTGGAGTGGGTGGCGCTGAAGGGGTGGCGTACATTGTAGGCGCCACGGGTTGAGTTGGTCTACGGCAGGTGCCATTCACACTGTTATAATTCCACCTGCATTTCAGGTGTACAATAATTGATTAGTACTACTATATATATATATATATATATATATATATATATATATATATATATATATATATATATATATATATATATATATATATATATATATATATATATATATATATATAGGGTAACAGGATACAGTATACCTAATTTAGGCTATTCTTTGCTGTATAAAAATATATATTGGCCAAGAAATTCTAGGAAGACCCTGGGCTTAAGATGTCTGCGTATTTGTGACTCTGAATTTATTGACGATGAATTGAAACACATTCGTTCCATTGCACAGAAACTCGGGTACCCTTCTGTGTTTGTTGATAGTTGTTTTAAAAGGGCTAAAAAATCCTTTCATTCCTCTCAAACCAGACAAGTTCCTACACTTAAGAATATTCTGACTCTGCCCTATCGTAATGAATTTGTCCCGTTAGTTCGGTCCCTCAAGCTTCTAAATATTAATGTTGTTTTCAAGTATGACTCTACCATTACCAATATGTTAATAAGGAATAGCCCAAGTTTGAATGTAAATGGAAGTGTTTATTGTATTCCATGTAGCAAATGTAATTGTAATTATGTAGGACAAACAGGAAAAACACTGCAGCTCAGAATCAAACAACATAAGTATAATATCAGAACAGCATCTGAAAGCAGTGCCTTATTCGTTCATGTTAGGAATAATAATCACCCCATTGCTTGGGAAAAAAGCTTAGAAGTATTTAAATCATCTTGTGTCACAGAAAGACTTCTGGTTGAAGCTAGTTTGATTAAGGAATTAAAATCAATAAACCTTAGTGATGGTCAGTTCAAAACTGATAATATGTAACATAAATTTATTTGTCAGTGGCCCAAGGTTAAAAATGCTTTGAAAACCTTTGATCTAGATGTATGATAGTTATTTTGTGGGTCCCTTATTTTTGACCTGACCTGACTAGTCACGTCACCCCTCTTCTCTTAAGCTCCTCTACGTGGGTGTTGGTGTGGGGATTAGTGGATGACATCATTATGACCTGACCTCATGTTTTTAAGGTCACCCTGTATATTTAAGCCTCTCTCTGTCCATGTAGTCCAGTTGCCTCTGAAGATGTCTTGAATAAAGACGAAAGCTTAGGTGCTCTGTTGTTTCCATTTTCCCGTGTGATTTTATCAAGATTTATCTTATCCACGTTTTCATTGTGGATTTACATGAAATATATATATATATATATATATATATATATATATATATATATATATATATATATATATATATATATAACTATATATATATATATGTGATAAAATCACACGGGAAAAAATAAACAACACAGATATAACTTATGTTGTTTGATTCACAGGCTGCAGTGTTTTCCTGTCTGTCCTACATAATTACAATTACATTTTGCTACATGGAATGCAGTAACGCCCATTATGTAGGTCAGACAGGAAAAACCTGCAGCTCAAAATCAAGCTTCTTTACTCAAAGCTATAACTATCAGGAACTGCATCTGAAAGCGGTGCCTTGTTCGTTCATGTTAGGAATAATCACCCCATTTGCTTGGGAAAAAAGCAGAATATTCAAATCATCTTGTGTCACAGAAAGACTTCTGGTTGAAGCTAGTTTGATTAAGGAATTAAAATCAATAAACCTTGGTGATGGTCAGTTCAAAACTGATAATATGTTACATAAATTTATTTGTCAGTGGCCCAAGGTTAAAAATGCTTTGAAAACCTTTGATCTAGATGTATGATAGTTATTTTGTGGGTCCCTTTTATCTGACCTGACCTGGCTAGTCACGTCACCACCCTTCTCTTAAGCTCCTCTACGTTTGTGTTGGTGTAGGGATTAGTGGATGTCATCATTATGACCTGACTTCATGTTTTTAGGTCACCCTGTATATTTAAGCCTCTCTCTGTTCATGTAATCCAGTTGCCTCTGAAGATGTCTTGAATAAAGACGAAAGCTAAGGTACTCCGTTGTTTCCGTTTTCCCGTGTGATTTTATCAAGATTTATCTTCTCCACGTTTTCATTGTGGATTTACATGAAATATATATATATATATATATATATATATATATATATATATATATATATATATATATATATATATATATATATATATATATATATATATATACATATATATATATTTATATATATATATAATTTTTTTTTTTTAAGGATTAGTAGGGTCATTACCTAATACCTGACCATTGTGGACCTGGTCTCACCCTCCTCTGTATATATACACCTTGTTTTGTACTTCTCCTTAGTCTGTCCTCACCCCTGAAGATGTGAATTACACAAAAGCGCTTGGGAACTTCGTGTTTTCTTCTTTTTATAGTGGACACTGTTGTAGTTTGTGCAAAGGTGTAAAAAATGAATATTTCTAAAATTAACGTAACTTAACATTTGTTGGTATGAGAAACAGATCTAACCTACCTAACCTTATCTAACTTCCTTACTGGGGAGCTCTGACCCCCCGGACCCCTGGTATATGTAGTGATGATGGATGGTGTTATATGTAGTGATGATGGATGGTGTTATATGTAGTGATGATGGGTGGTGTTATATGTAGTGATGATGGATGGTTTTATATAGTGATGATGAATGGTGTTATATGTTGTGATGATGGATGGTGTTATATGTAGTGATGATTAATGGTGTTATATGTAGTGATGATTAATGGTGTTATATGTAGTGATGATGGATGGTGTTATATGTAGTGATGATTATTGGTGTTATATGTAGTGATGATTAATGGTGTTATATGTAGTGATGATGGGTAGTGTTATATGTAGTGAAGTTGGATGGTTTTATATGTAGTGATGATTAATGGTGTTATATGTAGTGATGATGGATGGTGTTATATGTAGTGATGATTAATGGTGTTATATGTAGTGATGATGGATGGTGTTATATGTAGTGATGATTAATGGTGTTATATGTAGTGATGAGGGATGGTGTTATATGTAGTGATGATGGATGGTGTTATAAGTAGTGATGATGCATGGTGTTATATGTAGTGATGATTAATGGTGTTATGTGTAGTGAGGGATGGTGTTATATGTAGTGATGATGGATGGTGTTATATGTAGTGATGATTAATGGTGTTATGTGTAGTGAGGGATGGTGTTATATGTAGTGATGATGGGTGGTGGTATATGTAGTGATGATGGATGGTGTTATATGTAGTGATGATGCATGGTGTTATATGTAGTGATGATTAATGGTGTTATGTGTAGTGAGGGATGGTGTTATATGTAGTGATGATGGATGGTGTTATATGTAGTGATGATTAATGGTGTTATATGTTGTGATGATGGATGGTGTTATATGTAGTGATGATTAATGGTGTTATGTGTAGTGAGGGATGGTGTTATATGTAGTGATGATGGATGGTGTTATATGTAGTGATGATTAATGGTGTTATGTGTAGTGAGGGATGGTGTTATATGTAGTGATGATGGGTGGTGGTATATGTAGTGATGATGGATGGTGTTATATGTAGTGATGATGCATGGTGTTATATGTAGTGATGATTAATGGTGTTATGTGTAGTGAGGGATGGTGTTATATGTAGTGATGATGGATGGTGTTATATGTAGTGATGATGAATGGTGTTATATGTTGTGATGATGGATGGTGTTATATGTAGTGATGATTAATGGTGTTATATGTAGTGATGATTAATGGTGTTATATGTAGTGATGATGGATGGTGTTATATGTAGTGATGATTATTGGTGTTATATGTAGTGATGATTAATGGTGTTATATGTAGTGATGATGGGTAGTGTTATATGTAGTGAAGTTGGATGGTTTTATATGTAGTGATGATTAATGGTGTTATATGTAGTGATGATGGATGGTGTTATATGTAGTGATGATTAATGGTGTTATATGTAGTGATGATGGATGGTGTTATATGTAGTGATGATTAATGGTGTTATATAGTGATGAATGATGTTATATGTAGTGATGATGGATGGTGTTATAAGTGATGATGATGGAGGTTTTATATGTAGTGATGATGGAGGGTTTATATGTAGTGATGATGGATGGTGTTTTATGTAGTGATGATGGATGGTGATATATGTAGTGTTGATGGATGGTGTTATATGTAGTGATGATGGATGGTGTTATATGTAGTGATGATGGATGGTGTTATTTGTAGTGATGATGGATGGTGTTATATGTAGTGATGATGGATGGTGTTATATGTAGTGATGATGGATGGTGTTATATGTAGTGATGATGGATGGTGTTTTATGTAGTGATGATGGATGGTGATATATGTAGTGATGATGGATGGTGTTATATGTAGTGATGATGGATGGTGTTATATGTAGTGATGATGGATGGTGTTATATGTAGTGATGATGGATGGTGTTATATGTAGTGATGATGGATAGTGTTATAGGAAGTGATGAGGGATGGTGTTATATGTAGTTATAATGGATAGTGTTATATGTAGTGATGATGAATGGTGTTATATGTAGTGATGATGGATGATGTTATATGTAGTGATGATGGATGGTGTTATATGTTGTGATGATGGATGGTGTTATATGTAGTGATGATTAGACAATAAAATAATAACAATTTAATGCCAAAAAAATATACTTTGCTGTACCGTTGTAGTGGAACTTACATACACCGTTAATGAACTATTGATGGAAGAAGAAGTTTTGGGGACTGAACAGTGAGACAATGTGGAGCCTCCCGGGGGGTGGTGTCCTACCGTGGACTAGCGAATGAGCCGCCCGGACCAAACTTGCCATGGATAGCAAGTGTCATGTGGGGATCCCATAAAAACTCCAACCAATCCGATCCGACACACCCAAATCGACCCGACCCGTTAAACCACACAGAGGTTGAAAAGTCATATCACATCCCACGTATTATAGGTAATTTTATCCTTATACATATACTACTACACGTTCACTACAACACACGTACTACACGTTCATTACAATACCAGCACCACACAGTCACTACAACTCTCATACTATACGTTCATTACAACACCATTGGACCCCAGGTCGCCTCTCAACCTCGCTCACAATGAGAATCCAGTGTGCAATATCCAAAAAAGATCGGCAAAGGCAAAACTATTAGAAAAATGCAGCTTCATAGTCTGGGATGAATGCCTCAAGGCATCATACCTTTGGAGAAGTGTTCAGACACTCACCCTACCCACAAACATGAGAGTACATCTACAAGGAGATCGGGATGCTGGACGGTTTGCAAACCTTCTACTACAGATTGGGAATGGAACTTTCCCTGTTGATTCAGAAGGACAAATAATCATTCCTCAAGGATGTGAAAATGTTGTAAAGTCCTCAACTGAGCTCACTAATATGGTCTACCCAAACATTATTCACCACTACAAGGATCACGAGTGGCTGCGTGAACGCGCAATTCTGGCACCAAAGAATGAAACAGTGGCTGAAATCAACATGACTCTACTCAGACAGCTTCCAGGCAGTGAGACCTCATTCAAATCTGGTTGATACAGTAATCGACCAGGACCAAGCAGTCCAGTACTCTGCAGAATTCCTTAATTCTTTGGAGCCCTCTGGAATGCCTCCTCACCACCTCACTCTCAAGATTGGAACTCCTATAATGCTCTTAAGAAATCTTGAACCACCAATCCTCTGCAATGGCACAAGACTGGTGGTGAAGGACATGATGCCACATGTATTGGAAGCTACAATACTGACAGGAAAAGCTAAAGGAGAGGACGTTTTTACACCAAGGATACCTCTCATCACCAGTGACCTGCCATTTGAGTTCAAGCGACTTCAGTTCCCGGTTAAAGTGAGCTTTGCCATGACCATCTACAAAAGCCAAGGACAGTCCCTTAAGATGGTTGGCCTAAACCTGGTGTTTCCTTGCTTCTCTCATGGACAGTTCTATGCTGGAGGCTCCAGAGTGGGAACTGGCAAAAATCTGTACATACTTGCTGCTATTGGCAAAACCAAAAATGTGGTCTACTTTAATGCACTACAGTGAGAAAATGTGGAGCCTCTCGGAGGGTGGCGTCGCGATTCCGTTAGTGTATATATCAACTCGTCTCAGCTCGGTGGACAACCCACCTGCTATCACCCCCCTACTACTTTACTTCCCGTTTCTACGCTTTCCTTCTCTCTCTCCTCTCCCAGGGCAAAGTCATTTGCCACTTTAGTAAGACATCTGAATATAATTGTTGTGCAAGTATTGTGGAATTGTTGTGATCAATATAAAGTGAAAAGACTAAGGAATTGTACCTGGTAGTGTGCTAACTATATAATCGAAGTGGGAGGTCCAGCTGTGAAGCCATTACCCTGTGAACAGTGTTGTGAAGAATTAGTGATTATTAAAGCAGACTACAGAGCACAAGTGTGTTTCTGTTACCTGGTGGAAGTCTCCCTGACTGTTGTTTGTCTGTACACTGATACTGGTCGTCGGGAAATTGCCGGAGATTGGTGGAACAGCCAGTGGTAATTCAAAGACACTTGTGAGATATCTACTACGGCTTCTGTACGTATGACCCTAGCCGCTGGTAACCAGTGGTGGAGGCTGGGTAAGCGGCGAAAGGAGGGTCGTAACAATATCATAGGCTAATTCTGTCATACAAGTCAATGTCTATAAATCATTTAGAACGTTTGGCCTCTGACAGTAGAGTACTCAATACAGTACATAGATGTAAGCAGTAAACTAACCAACATACCGTCAACACCTACACAAGTTAAGAAATACATTGAGTAAAATGTTTACAAAACCTCATCTGAACCAAAAGCCTGGCGGTTCTTACCCACGAAACCATTTGTCAGTTACCGCCCCTGATTCACAGACTGAGAACCTTGTCGGCTTAATAAGCTACATCAAACTTTAATGTCAGATTCATGAACTCTGTATGAAATATATGCCTTCGGTACAAATAAATGGTATTTCATTAATAAGCAGTGCCAATAATAACGGTTACCAAATTTTGGGCGGAATTTAATTCGGATGTGTAACCCATAGATTAATATGGCCAAAAAAATATAATGAACATAAAAAAAATATAATTTACATAAAAACTTACTTGCTACAAAGAGGAAGCTTGGGTGATGCAGTAGTGCTAGTGGTAGTAGTAGTAGTGGAGGTGGAGAAGTGCGTGTCGGGGAAGAGAGCAGCAGTGCGGATGGCAGAAGCATACTCTATGGAGGCCTCTTCGAACATGGTCCTAACCAATCGCGAGAGTTTGATGGGCCTCACGTAAGTGGTGGTTACCGGTGGAGATGCTGAAGTGGCCGTAATCTCCCTAGTGCTGCTCTTAACCCAAGACTGGTTGCTGATGTCAAGGTGAGATGAAGGTTGAATGGATTCTGTATAACACGAAACAAGGTTGACTGTTGTCTGACTGGTCTCTGTGTCTGCTGTATAAGGAGACAATGGTCTAAGATTGTTCAAAGGTGAATCAGTGGGCTGGCTGCTCACAGGAGAAACAATGGGTGACGTAACAGAGGATAATGAAGTTAGCTGAGCGACTTTTGCAGGAGTCGTTTGAGAGTTGTTTCTTAAAGAGGGTACAAGAATCGATGACCGTGATGGATTTACAACTGGCAGAGTGGTCGCCTCCTGCCTGCTGGCCAGAGGAGAAGTAGGAACAGTAGTTAAGAATGGAGGATGAACGACTGACGAGAAAATCGTTTTGTCTCTGCTGGCTAGAGAATATAATAAATGTTTCTTTGATGCTGAGGACACGGGCGTACTGCCTTTTTCAGTCGACTGGATTCCGGGAAGGACTGTAGAAGAGGACTTACTCTCACACGGCAACAGTGCTTTCTTATAAGACCAGCGCTGAGACCTGGTTACACTGGAGGCAATAGACGGCATGGATGAGACAGAGGGTAGGGTAGTAGTAGTGAGATCACGATAAACTTGCAGGCAGGTGACAGAGGAATTCACTGTTGTTGACATTGTAGGTTTGGAAGATGTCAATACTGGATGAACGACACCAGTAGAGG